AAAAAAGCTAAACATTTGGACGCACAAATGAGTTCGAATGTTAATTATATGTGACAATCCTTAGTGCTGTGTCATGGAGAAGCAGGTTCACGAAGGGGAGGGGGGGAAGAAGTTGACTTTCCCTTGAATGGGAGGGCGAGGAAGCTGGAAAGACTTATTCCTCCCATTTTCTTCAATTTATAGCACTTGTTGTTAAAGGTGACGTCATTTGTATCTTTGACTTTCGAATAAATGCTATTTGCGTCAGTGATGTGCTTTGCTAACAAATAGATTTAGTGCGTACCAAATTTGCAACAAAGAGCTATTTCTATGAAAGAAAGGGGTAGGGAAAAATGATTGCCATCTAAATTGTAACCACATCTATTTTAAGAGCATAAGTGAGTTTAGAAGTCCTTTCATCCTTCAATGAGGGCGGCGCCTCATTTTTGTCAGGTCCCAAATTAATCACTGAACAGGCAATGTTACCAAAGATATCCCTTGCGACTAGCTACAAAAGAACTGTACTGACCTGTTCGAAAGTTGACAACAATATCCAAAAGGAAGATGGTGTCGGAGACACAGTTGAAACATATTGCCTGAAACCCCAAGTCTTCAAGAAAAAAGGAGATGAAAACTGGAAGTATGATCAAATTCGCAATGAGCAAAACGAGCATCAGCAAGTCCCAGTAAAATCTAAAAAGCAGCACGTAAAAATAAATTAACTGGGCCAGCGCACATTAAGAAAGAAAAACCACTCATCTTGAAGTGTGTTTTGTCCCCCCCATCCCCTATGCTAGTGCGGCACGTCATGCGCGACCAACTTAAGAAGCAAGTCATCTGCTACGATCTACAAATTTATGGCGCTTAATGCTTTCAAAAATGAACAATGGCCCATTATATCTACGAAATGTGTAGAAGCAAAATGAGAGTCCATCTGGCATAAAATCTTAACCATAGGTTTGCGTAGCATTTAGGCCTATTAGCGGGCTTAAAGAGTCGTGTTTTAGTGTGCATGCTACGCCTAACAACGTAACGAAGTCCTATGAGCAGCCACAATTTGATAGCATCTTTCTAAAACTAGTGAGCGTTTGAAAAGCAAGATCATGTGGTTGGAAGTGAGTAAACCATAAAGAGAGAAATTCGTTTGAGGGCATTATAGAGCTAGGAGTCGTCTCGACGTTGGATATACTTTGAAACTCTTCGTATCTTTGATACTTTTAACGTCCCACGAAGCTCGCATCAATCAAAAGCGCATTTTATGCCCAAAGAGTAAGTTTACAACGAGGTAGAACTGCTGACAGCAGCAGCAGCTGCTGATCAGCAGCTTCAGCCTCGACAATTAAATATCCTTTATAGTGCTTGAGACAGCATTTTTGTGCGTAACAGGCTCCTTAAAGCGGCCTGCCTCACTCCCTGATGCTTCGTTACTCCTGTGCTATGACTCTCAGACTCCTCCGTAGGTCACAAGGTTTTCATTGAGAACTTTACATATTCCCGACAACCCCGCCCTGATACTGACGACCACCAAAGTAAGAGTGGCGGAATTTGGTATTTCCAGTTACAATGCAACTACTTTACTTAATTAATCTTGAGTAAGTGTCTCCATCCTTAACTGGAGAATGAACGATTCCGTCTACTTGCAGATAGGACAATGCTGAAATATTAAGTTCATCCTACATCCGGTGCCTCGTTCTTACTTAGTTGGTGCATTTTGTTGTTATTGCCTGCTTGCATAACAACATAAAGACAAGTGACAAGCAGGATCTCATGAAAAGGCTAATCTTTTGTCTTGTAGTCAGGATAGTGAAGCAACAGGTTTAATCCATAAAGATCCAAAAGTTAATGCAAATTATTGCAAAGAAATCACGTAGGCACAAAACATCTCCGTGGTAAGACCTCACGTCTCCTTCGCCGAGCAACATAAGCCGCGATCCATTAATCGTCGTGTCTGCGGAACTAAACAAACCGCTTTTGACCACCCCTACTTTTACCCTAGCTTTTGCTTCAAGACTGTCTACATTGCTTGTGACAGTCTGATGCCATATAAAGCCGATAATTACTACTTATGCCAATGTATTTATAGGAAAACTATCGACAAAGCTGGGAACACGGTTGAGAGTGACGGCGAGACAGCGATTTGCAGTCGTCCTCATCTTTTTATCATTCCACGAATTATACATTCTTTTGGGCTAGGATTGTGTCGCCTTATAACTGCTTTTAAACCACATGCACTTATTTTTGGGATAACTTGAGTAAATGAGTGATAGGTCTAAACATTTAGGCTTCCGTAGGGACATGATTACCAATTGAAACGCTTTCCATTGTCCACTACAAGTGCGCACCAAGTCAAAGTATTATGATGGAGCAGTGAAGGGAGGACGGGGTGACGTGTCTGTTCATTTACGCTCGGCAAATGGTGCAATAAAAGAGGCATTAAAGACATCTCATTACCGGTCACTCAGCGAGCAAACGATCCAAAGTGCACGGCAAGTTATACATGGCGAACATTGTGAAATAGGGAGCAGAGGAAGGACGAGAACATCACTGTCTGCCACCTAGTAATAGACTTACATAAATTTTTGTGTTCTTCACCTCCTACGACTTGCGTTTATATCAGATGTAGACAACGGTATGGCTGTAGATACAAATGATTTCATGTCAATCATGATTAAATATTGCTTTTGGCAAGTTTACCACAGCATTCGCAGTTTTAAGCGATTTAGCATATCCGATGCACTTATGAGGCTTCCATTTTGAGGAGGCAGTCGTCAGAATCATTGGCATCAGGATGTTAAATTAGCCATCGCATGTTCTGAATTTTGCATTTTCTACTGTTAGTAGAAGATTTTGCAGGAATGAAGCTGGGAAAGCGGACAAGACGGCAGCACTTTAGGCTCAGTGAACAGTAGAGATGTGATGAGGGTGGTCTAGGAGTGATGGCGTAGAGGGTGGACAAAATGCCGTGCGGTGGGCGTAACAGGCCACCTGAGAGGGCTATATGGGAACCCACTCAGAACCTGTAGCCCACACCAGACTTATTAATAGGCTCCAATTAGTTCCGACGATTGTTGTGCTGATAATCATAATCACTCACAGGTGAAGGTACTAGACACATTTAATTCTTAGTCAGTACACTATTTAATGCCTTTGAGTATGTGAAGAGGGTTTTTAGATTGGCGGCTACTGCGAGATGTTGAGCAAACATTCCTAACCAAAAGAATGAGGAATTCTTAAATAGGTGACCGCCATTCTTCCGCTGCTTCTCCACGGGTGACCACTCCACACTGCAACCACCCTACGCGTGAAATGAGAAATGAGTTAAGCTTTAATTAGGATGAAGAAGGCCACAAAATACAACTTGGAAGCGAACTCTCCGTTTTGCCTGGAGGTGAAACAGTAAGTAAAAAACACGAATTTTGTGACGGTCTAGACACGCAGCCATCATCAACTGCCAGGCAGAGGATTTGATTAGTCGATGCTAAATTTACCTCATTTGCACGTTGACCACGTCCTTACAAATGGTGTCAATTTCCGTAGGCATAAAAGGCCCTTGAATGAGGCCGTCCTTGGAGCGATTAGAAATTCGTAAAACATGCATCTGAGAGGCAGTTTAAACAAGTGGATAGATATTTGATTGCATTGATGAGTTTTGAAATACCGTCTCACTTGCGCGAAGTTTAGTGGACTAGAGGGGTAGCAGATTAAACTAGGCAATCAAATCAGCAACCATTGTGCGTTTAGAGCGTTAGCTTTACGATCTGAAACGGAAGGATTTGATGCCTTTCTTTAATCAAGCAAGTACCTACAGCAATTACTCTTTCATTTAAAAACTTTATCTCATAGTACTGGAAAAGTGGTATTTAATTGTACAAAAAGAGTTTAAAAGGCGACTTTGCAAACAACTCACACTTCATTTATGATTTTCGGCGGTTTCTCTCTACACAAACTTCATAAAAGCAGACCTTTGGTTGCATCAAATGAGGGGCTAAGGAGGATTCAGCGCCGACGCAAACTCGGCCTAGCGACATAATTTTGTTGGCTACAGTTTTAATGTTTGAGCCTTTAGCAGGGTAAACTGGAAATTGGGAGTTGCGTTGACGACAAAGTTAGTTGGCCTCATTTACGAATACCCATTTGAGTCGATCTTTTTATTAATTTATAATGCGAAGTCCCATTTTTGAACTCTAAGGCAATAGTGGGGTGACAAGATTTTCCTCAAAAAGGAAATAAAGTAAGTCAGCAAGGAGAACTGTGCCATTCCAATCGGCTGGCAAAATAATACAAAGTGGACAAATTAGCCAAAAATTAATGGTGCTGATATCTTTCCGACTAAGTAGGCTTTGCAGGAT